TTGAAAAAAAAGAAAAAACAAAAAAGAAAAAAAAATGAAAAAAAAAGAAAACAAAAGAAAAGAGGAGAATGAAAAAGAAAATACAAAAAAAACGAAAACAAAGAAAAAACGAAAAAAGAAAAAATGAAAGAAAAAAATACAAAAAAAAATAAAGAACAAATAAAAGAACAAGAAGTTAAACAGAAAAAGAAAAAAGGCCAAAGAACGAAACTTCCGAAATGCAATAAACAAGAAACCAAAAAAGAAAGAGACAAGAAAAAATGAACGAAAAAAAAAACAGAAGAAAAAAACAAAAAGAAAAGAACAAAAGAATAGAAAAAAAAAAAAAAAAAAAAAAAAAAAAAAAAAAAAAAAAAAAAAAAAAAAAAAGAAAACAGAAGAATAAAGAAAAAAAACAAAAAAACAGAAAAAAAAAATGAAGAAAAAATGAAAAAAAACAAATGAAGAAAATAAATAAATAAAAAAAAGAAACAGAAAAATAAGACAAAAAAAACGAAGGAAAGAATAGAAGAAAAAAAGATAAAAATATGAAAAAAAAATGGAGGAAAAAGATGAATGAAGAAAAGAAAACAGAAGAACAAAACAAAAAAAGAACAAAAGAATAGAAAAAAAGAAAAAATAACAGAAAATGAAAAAAAAAGAAAAACAAGACAAAAAAAGAACAAAAAAATAAAAGAAAGAAAAGAAAAAAAAAAGAACAAAAGAATGAAAAAAGAATGAAGAGAGGAAAAAGATGAATGAAGAAAAGAGAACAAAAGAATAAAACAAGAAAAGAACAAAAGAATAAAAAAAAAAGAACGAAAGAATAGAAAAAAAAAGAACAGAAAAAGATAAATGAAGAAAAAGAATAAGAACAAAAGAAAAAGATAAAAAGATAAAGAATATGAATAAAAAATGAAAAAAGGCAAGAAAAAAACAAAGAAAAGAGCAAATAAAATGAAAATAATAAAAATAAGTTAAAAAATACGAAAGAAAAAGAAAAGAAAGTGAAAAATAAGAAAAATAGACAAAAAAACAGTAGAAACAAAAACAAAGAGAAAGAAAAGAGCAAAGAAAAAAAAAAAAAGACAAAGAAAAGAAGAAAAAAAGTATGAAAAAAATAAAAAATGAAAAAAATAAAAAAAATAAAAGCAAATAAAAAAAATGAAAGAAAAAAAAATAAATTAATTTAATAAAAGAAAAAAAAACAAACTAAAAAAATTAAAAGCATGAAAGTTAAAGAGCGAAACAATGAAAACACAAAATGAAATATGAATACTAAAAAATGAAAAAAAATACAAGTGAATAAAAAAAATAAAGGGCGAAACAACGAAAACACAAAAACAAAATGACAAATGCCAAAAAACATACAAATAAAAAAAAGCAAAAAAAAAAATCAAAGAAAAGAAGTTAATTTTAATAAAAAAACAAAAAAACAAGCAAAAAAAATTAAAAACACACACCTGAATCCGAAGTTGAGTGAAAGTTAAATGGCAAAACAAAACCGAAACGACAGATGCAAAAAAAAAAACTAAAATAAACAAAAATAAATATTACAGAATTAGATGATCACCAATCTAAAAAATGATTGGCCAATCATATAGGGGTCGCAGTACGACAGGTCACTAATGTATTTTTGTCTTTTTATTTTTTTTTTATATTCGGCGGTCCTGTCTCATTGCTTTTATTGAAAGTACCAGGAAGCTATTACAACAGGAGGTAAT